CTGGGGATCCATGTACGGGATGGGGATGTACGTTTAAAGAGGAGATACGTGATGATGTCGCGCACGCGTTCCCGCTTTCTGATCTCTTGGATCCGACGGATCCTCTTTGCGCGGGGGAAGAGAGATCATCTTCCCCGTGTACGATACGAGAATATTCGTTCTCCGAGAAATTGATCGTGGCGCGTATCCGCCTTTCGTTTCTTATTCGGGGATTCAGTGTCTCTGGAAATGGCCCATCGTTCGCGCTGCAAGTATGTAATAATAATAATACTCAACGAAGAGATGACTCGTTATAATGCTTCCGATCGCCGTTTTTACCCGCCGTTCTCTTTATCGCCGAGAAACGGTGTTAATAAAAATGGATACTTCAATATCTCTCTTATCATGGAATGGCATCGCGGGAAGCGGATAAAGCGGAAAGGACTCAGTGAAGAAAGCTGAAATTTCAATCGATTCGCGCTCGAGCGAAGAATGAGTAAGGATGAAAGCAAAAATTGCCAAGAGAATGAAAGATCGCCAACGTGTATGGAAGCCCAGCGAATAAGAAGCACACGCGAAGAAGGAAGATCAGAGTCATCCGTGAAATCATATTCTACCGTTTTCCTAAGCAGGAAACATCGGACAAAAGTATTTTGCGTTCAACTCCCCCGTCACGCGTTATTTAATTTATTTGTGAGTATTGTAGAGGCAAAATCAGGGGAATCTTGTTACGTATGTTTATTCTTTCGAGTCCCTTGCCTCTCGTCGCCGCGCGACTCATATCATTTTTCACAAATCACGAGTTATTGCGTTTCAGCACATTTTGGTTCCTATTTAGATTAACGCGTACGCATTAGAGTCGAAAGTGCGTGCGCAACCGCATTTCATCCACGTCGCCGCGTCCATTATGTTAATCATCGATTAATTAACGCGATCCATTAGCGGCGCTCGTTTCACGGCGTTCGCGGCAGCCTCGAGTCTTTCTAAATGTTCCCGCAACGGCCGTTCTCTCTCGGCCATGAAGCAATAAAAGGAAGGAAACCGGGAGGCAGTGGACACCGTGAATGACTTACACCAACCATGGTAGAACACTAAATCGTTCCCCTCGTACTTCCGTTGTTCTCGCTTTTCGTCTCTCTTTATTTTCTCGTTTTCACAATTTTCCTCCATTTACATATACATATATATATATATATATCCGATCGGGTTGTCTCCGCCGGAGGGATCAGCGGAAGTACGCGATGCGTCGAACGAGATAAAACGCCGTTGCATCGCGGAAGATGAAACGCCGATTTTCCATATTCTCGATCGACTGGCACTTTAAGATGGAAGCTCAGTCGCGCTCGGACTCTTGTCGTCAGCTCGATTCGAATATCGTATAGCGAATCGTATAGCGAAAAGACTAGCTAGAAGGATTAGAACTCGCAATCCGCAACGCCAAGTGCCAAACGAAACGAAACGGAAAAAAAAAAAAATAAGGGAGACTTCACGGCCACTCCACTTCAGACGGCCAAGTGCGTAACTCGCTGTTCCTGAGCAACGAGCTCTCCGAGGTTCCTTTCCAATTCTTTTTCCGAACTTCGAGCGACGACAACGACGGCAACTCGACGACAGACTCTTTTTCGGTGACTCTCTTCGTCGCATCGCCACGATGCTTCCGCTCGTCGCTCTCGGCGGAGTTTCGCGTCGTTTCGCCTTTCCAGAGGCAACAGGTCAATACACAGAATCCGCTTTGCGCGAGCGGACCAGATATCTTGATATTATATACGTACGACATACACGAGGCAACAACACGAGGGACACGTATGTATATGTATATGTGTATATATATATATATATATATATATATATACACACACACACA